ATGACAGCATATCATAAACAACATCATTACTGTTTGGCATGCATTGTTCCTATTTCTCTTCTTCAATTTTTCTTTGGCTTCAACAAGTTTCTCTTCCCACTTCACTTGCATGCCTTGGACAAGTTGCTTAGACAGGTTGCTGGAGAGTTTGTTGAACTCGCAATTACTTTTCAAAACGTGCAACAAATCATTTTCACCTTCTCATATTATCAATTAATTTAAACATGAAACATACAACTATAGAGCTCTAATTACTATTCTCACTACATTTAACACTCATCAGATTCTATACCTAAGAATTATTGAAAATTTCGACAACAAAATAGGTTTTGCATACACTTAGGAATCACTGCACATTAGATTAGATGGACCTACATACACTAAGGAGTTTATGCATATTAGGAATATAGCAATCTGGATTAACAAAAGACCTTAACAACTGATGGTTTCATCTTTAGTATTTCACGCATCTGTTCTTTGCAAATCTGTCCAGCAATTGGACTCACAATTCCCTTGGACAAGCTGCTGGACAAGTTGTTGAACTCGAAATTCCTTTTCACTGGGTGTTACAAATCATTTTAACCATCTTAGATTAAAAGACGATCAGAAACTTTCTCGTGGTCCTTTTTTTGATTTTTACTAGGTGTGTGGTTGTATAATTTGCTTATTTTGTTGGAGAAAAACATGAAATATAAACCAGCTTATTTAAATGTGAAACATGCATGAGAGCATCTTTAATAATTGGTTGTTTAATGTTTGACTTGTACCACCATTAATTTCTATACTTTTAGAAATTATTTGTTTCCTAGTTAGATTAACTAAAGATCAAACAAGAGTTGTAACAATGATTGATCTCATTACAACTGAAGGCATTGATTACCTTTAGGACTTCATTGAAAGATACCGAACATGTTGATTACCATCTCCTGTATTGCACCCTATGTACTAATAGGATGGATATTTTATCTGAAATACATTTTTGATTAATTTTATCTTTTTTAACTAACGTATTTTCAGCTCCTACAATAATTGCAGAAAATAAAATCATTTATTGAACGCCATGAACAATTCTAGAAATAAAAGATGGATGTCTTTTGATAGACTTAGTAAAGAATACTTGGATGGAGTAGAAGATTTTTTAAATCATGCATTTTCTAAAAAACAAGCAGGAGAGAAAATTCCATGTCCTTGTATCGAATGTGTACTTATCCATCAAGTAAATTGAGCAACAGCTTCTGATCATCTTGTTGTTAATGGTATTATGCCATCATATGATAACTGGTTTTGTCACGGAGAGACTCTAGAGCGATTAGACAATACTGAAGTAAATAATCAGAAGCAGGCAACTGTAAGAGGTGATGATATGAGAGGAATGATACATGATGCCTTTGGAGGTTGTACGGAGTTCATAGATAGTGACATCAATGAAAGAGGTGAGATGGAGCAAAACGTACAAGAAAATGCTGATCATCCATCTGAAAAGCAACCTCATCCAGAGATGGATAAGTTTGAACGACTCATGAAAGAGGCAAATGAAGAATTATATCCTGGTTGCAAGAAGTTTAGCAAATTATCCTTTTTGTTGCATATCTATCGTAACAAAATGCATGTTCAAATGGTCAAATGAATCCTTTAATTCATTGCTTGGACTACTGAAGGACGCACTACCTGAAGGATATGCATTGCCTTCTTCTTTCTATGAGACCAAAAAGATAATTGAAGGTTTGGTCTTAAAGTATGAAAAGATTCATGCTTGTCCTAATGATTGTATGCTTTTTAGGAAAGAATTTGCCCATAAGGATGTTAATGAATGCAAAGTTTGTGGGGCTTCTAGATGGAAAAATAATGATAAAAAAATTCCAGCCAAGGCCCTAAGGTATTTTCCTTTAAAACCAAGGTTGCAAAGATTATTTATGTCTTCAGAAGTTTCTAAAGCAATGAGATGGCATCATGAAGAGCGCAACAAAGATGGAGTACTTCGACATCCTGCAGATTCTGAAGCTTGGAAAAGTTTTGATAGCAAGTATCCAGAATTTGCCAAAGATCCTCGCAATGTACGTCTAGGATTAGCTTCTGATGGGTTTAATCCATTTGGACCAATGCGAACAGTTCATAGTACATGGCCAGTGATTATAATGCCATATAATCTTCCACCATGGATGTGCATGAAGAAAGAGTTCTTCATTCTGTCTTTGCTGATACCTGGACCAAAAGCTCCCAGAAATAATATTGATGTCTTTTTGCAGCCTTTAATAGAAGAGTTAAATGAATTATGGGATGTTGGGATAGAAACATATGATACCTCTACTAGGGAGATGTTTCAGATGCGAGCATCTCTCATGTGGACTATAAATGATTTTCCAGCATATGGTACTCTTTCTGGCTGGAGCACTTCTGGTCGGTTTGCATGTCCTTCTTGCAACATAAATACTCATTATAGAAGACTCACATATGGTAAGAAGTTTTGTTTCATGGGTCATCGACGTTTCTTGAGGTCGGACCACAAATATCGAAATGATGCTAAATCATTTGATGGAACTAAAGAAACAAGACTTGCACCCTGTACAATATCTGGTTCACAAGTGTTGAATCAAATGAAAGATATAAAGTTTACTCTTGGCAAGTCAAGTGAAGGGGTAAGTGGGGTGAGGAATCACACATGGAAAAAGAGAAGCATTTTTTTTTATCTTCCTTACTGGGAGTATAACTTGGTGCGCCATAATCTTGATGTGATGCATATAGAAAAAAATGTGTGTGACAACATAATTTATACACTATTGGGCATTGATAAAAAAATCTAAAGACAACTTACCTGCTCGATTGGATTTGAAGGATATGAAAATAAGACCACGCTTATGGCCTCAATATCGAGCTAGTCGGAGGACATATCTTCCTCCTACTTATTTCACAATGTCTTCGAAGGAGAAAGAGTTGTTTTATGAAGTTTTGAAAAATGCCAAGTTTCCACATGGCTATTCATCTAATATCGCACGTTGGATTCGCAAACGAAAGCTATCTGGACTAAAAACTCATGATTGTCAACTATGGAGAAGCTCTTCCCCCTTGGATTCTTTACTATAATGGTACACTTGGTAACTCACTTAGCAACAGAGGCTAGACTTGCAGGGTCAGTACATTATCGTTGGATGTATCCAATTGAGAGGTACAAAGAATATCATTGAATCTTCACTGTATTTTTTTAGTTCGTAAATCTTATAATATCAAAATAATAATATTACCTAATTCTATAGGTACTTGGGTACTTTAAAATCATATGTCCGTAATCGTGCATGCCCAGAAGGTTCAATAGCAGAAGCATACATAGCGAATGAGTGTTTGACATTTTGTTCACGATATTTGGAGGGTGGAGATTCAAGGTCTTATTGTTCTAAAACATTTGATGATCAAATTGAGCATGATACTAATAAAGAAGAATGTCTTTTTCCTACTGTTGGGGAGTCAAATGGTGGAATAGATGTATTTAAGTTGTATGAGAAAACGTGGTTACAAGCACATAGACATGTGTTATTCAATTGTGAGTCAGAGGTGGTTGAGAATTATAAAAAGTAAGTTTTATATCTATCTATCTATCTATCTATCTATCTATCTATCTATCTATATAAAAGTGTTATTTGATAACAAAATTGATAGATATGAGTTATGTTAATAGTGAACATATTGCTGAAATCAAGAGATCACATCGTAAGCGTCGTTTGAATCAACATCAACTTGACTGTCTGCATTTTGATACATTTCCAGAGTGGTTCAAGGAAAAAGTAAGTAGAACGTCTAAGTCATTGGTCAAGCTAAATTTGTGTCCTTGTACTTATATTGTACTTATAATTGTATCTTTCAATTTTGTTAGGTAAATGAGTTAGAGGCTACATCTAATATAATAAAGGATGTTAGAGTCCTCGCACAAGGGCCGTCTTTTATTGCAAGAAGATTCAATGCATTCAATGTAAATAATGGGTATCGATTCCGAACTAAACAAAGTGAAGAGTTCAAGGAGACACAAAATAGTGGTGTTATGGTTGTTTCAAAGACCGAAAGTTATGCAAGTACAAGTGATAATGCTCCAAAGTCAGCAAATATCACATATTATGGTAGATTGAATGATATTGTGGAGTTAAACTATTATGAAGAATTTAAGGTTGTCTTATTTAAGTGTGATTGGGTGGATGTAACCAAAGGTAGAGGAGTTAAGGATGATGAATTGGGTTTCACACTTGTGAATTTCTCACGCCTGGCAGACACTAGCAATCGAGAACGTCATGAGCCTTTTATTTTTGCAGAACAAGCTCAACAAGTAATATTTGTTCAAGATCCTATAGATCATGAATGGTTTGTCCCCCGGTTAATTAAACCTCGAGACATTTTTGATATGGGAGATGAAAATAGTGTGCAATTTGAGTCATCAATGCAAAGTGATCTCACAGACTTGTCTCTCTTAGAAACTGCTTGTGTTCCAGAGAATGAGTGTGATAATTGGGTTCGAAGTGGTGTCGATGGGATAGTAATTGAAACGGACATACATTCTCTAGCTTCTACGAATGGTGGTGAAGCTAATGCTGAGGGAGGAAATGACATTGAGAATGAAAGTGATTCTTAATAAGATAGGTGGTACTTATAAAATACAGTTTTTGCAAGTTTATTGAAGAACTTCTATGGGTTTGTTTTAATTTAAATGAAATATCTTTGTTGCTTTCAATTTGAATAAAGTTTTTGCAAGTTTATATTTTGTAGATTGTAGCTCTTGGATTGTGATATGATAAGGTGTTCTTATCACTAGATAACTGATTTTTTGGTACACCAGCTTCTCTTATAATTAGGATTATTTTTGTCGCTAAACTTTTTTTGGGTGCACATTTCACTATTTATGTGTTTTTCATAGCTTGATGAGATGAAGCTTCCTTCTATTTTTCATGTGATGTAATATATGTTTGAGTTAATCTGAACCTAATGCTGCTAGATAGTGGCATCACTTAAGAGAAGGAGCAATGCAAACTAGAGGTCGCAACACCTTAGTTATTGAACAACATGATGAAGCTTTGCGACATTATATTGAGCAGCTAAGTGATGATCAAGATAACTCTGTAGCCCAACCTTTTCTTGAGCAATTGGTAGATAATCAGAACAACTCTGTAGACCAAGCACATGATGGTGAATCTAATGAGTTGAATAGTTCTGTTGGTGGCACTGCGGTTCAACCTAATGATGAATCAGGTAATACTATTTTTACTCTGTATTGTTTTAAGATCTTAGTTTCTAGGTGTGTTTGGTTGTATTATTGTTCTGCCCTTCTGGGATGTTATCTTTCTTGAGTCAAAACAGAGAGGTATTAAAAAAGAACTGAGACAAAAGAAAATCTGGAGAATAAACAGGGGAGTTCATTTATGCTAAGTGTGTGCAGTTTTATTACGTGCACAATTTAGGAGTGAAAACAGGGGGAACATATGAAAAGTTTTATTACCTGCTCAGTTTTGGAGAATAGCTAGCTTTCTACTATTGTGTTATAGCTTAATTTAAGTGTCAGTTCTTTTTTACTATGCTGCATTAACAAAATATATCATGCATTTGGTGTTGTTCAACACCTGGAAGTCTTTTTTTCTTGTTTTGATCACATCTAGTTGTAGACATAGAAGGGAAGGCTAATCAATATAACTATATAATCCATATTTATACTCAAATCCAGATTGTATCTAGAAAACAGAAGATGAAAAATAGTAGTAACTACAAAATAGTTTCTGGAATCATTTTCTGTGAATGGATTGTGTTAATGCACATGCTTCTCAACACCTGTAAGTCCTTTTTTTCTTGTTTTGATCACATCTAGTTAGTTGTCCACTAACTTCTTGTTGGCAAGCTATACATGTTCTGGTTGATCCTCTGATAAAAATTACGAGAGGAAAGTGTGCAGGCTAGTATGCAGGGTAGTGAACATTAGCTTTTAGTATAATCCTATTTTGCTATGTCCATAGGCTGGCCAATGAGTAGTAGAGAAACATTAAGACTAATGCTGCTGTGTTGAGTGTAATCAAGGATCTTTGCAAATAAACACCTAACATGTCTACTTGTTTAGCTCCATATGCTTGTCCACAAAGTGTTTCTAATGCACTTCCTATTCCTAACTGTTAGGAAAACATCAAATATTTTTCATAAGATTTTTAACACTAACTGTAGCAAAAACATTTCTCCATTTCAAAAACGAAAGTAAAACACTTAGATTGAAATAGAAGAAGTAATAGATTACCAAAGTACCATAACAGAGTCCAGCAATAGCAGAGTTTTCAACAGATACAGCAGTAAACTGTAGGACTCCAAGATGGCCAGCAAGTCCCACATATAAAGTAAACAAATTGAGCTAGTGAGATGAACTAGCATGAGCCATTTAGCACTACAGCTCCAGCCACTAGCCCCAAATAAATTTTAATCATGAACAACCATCTCAACAGAGTATGGCCAGCTTTCTCTTTGGGATGGCAGCAAATTTCTTTAGGAGAACATCCAACTTTCCACTTTTGTGTTATAGCTTGATTTAAGTGTCAGTTCTTATTGATATATCTCACAACACATGAACATGTTGCACAACACCTGGAGTATTCATGATCACACACGCAACTAGAGGGAGTATTCACGATCACACACACAACTACATATTACATAGAGAGTGGGAAAACTGGTATCAAATTAACTCACCTTATAATCCATCAAAATAAACTCATCAGTTACAACATGAACTAATCTGAAAATAAAGGAATCTGCCATTTTCCATTGTGATTGATCTCCTTAAGTGAAGTTAATATGAAGAGAACATTAGTTTTTTAAGTGCTAGTATTAGAACAGTGCTAAATGCCCTGAGTTTGTTATTATAGAGCATCTTTCAGGTGTTTAACCATATGTGATTTTCCATTTGATGACTTTCAAATATTATTTTAATTCTAGGTAACTTAGCGACAAGAAAGCCTCGTGGTCCTACTTTACTAAAAGATGTTTGGAAACTTCCTCCCGGAAAGACAATTGATGTGCCGTTTAATAGTCGTAACCAATCTATTGGGAAAGAGGGGCGAAAGCTTGCTAGCTTTCTAGGAATTGTTGCAAGAACTCCAGAATTAACACCTCTAAATGTAGATGATTGGAGAAACTTTGACAACGAGCAAAAGAAGAAATTGGTGGATTTTGTAAGGGTATGAGTTAGTATTATTACTACGAGAACAAACTCAATTTGTACATGATATTATCTTTTATATATTGACTTTTATTTTGCAGAAGAAGTTCTCTTTTCCAAAACGTGGAGAAGCGTTTATCTTAAAGTCACTAGGAAAGAAATGGAAAGACTACAAGTGTGAAATTAAAGGTGAGTATATGTCAAAATATAAGACTAAAGACTCTTTGCTGAAAAATAGACCAAATCGCATACCGACAATGGAGTGGTCTAGTCTCTTATTGGCTTTCTGATAAAGCAAAGGTATAAAAAATCTTGACAACACACCTACTTTCTTATTTAACTATGTGTTGATTTTAGTTATGCTACATTATTTTTATAATTTGTAAGATATTATTTAAATATTTCAACAACAGAGGCGTACCCAAGCAAATAGAAACAATAGGGCCAATCAAAAGATGCCTCACACAGGAGGATCCAAAGTATTGCTACATTGATGCATGAATAGGTAAATCTGTGAAACGTATTTTTAATGTTTTTTAGTCACGCATGTCTAACATCAATTCTATTGCTTAGGCTGAAAATGGAATAGAGCCTACACGAGCAGAAATTTTCTTATTAACTCATAAAAAATGTGTGGATGGTAGACCACTGGATGATGATTCTGCCAAGGCAATCGTAAGCTATCTTCTTAACGTTATTTTTTAAATCATGAAACAATTAAAAATAAACATTACAAGTGAATAAGCCAATTTCAATTTGGATTTATTGTGTATTTTATGAACAGGACATGATAAATGAAAGGATGACCAATAATGAAAGATCTACCGACCAACCTCCTCAAAATGTTGCTTTGGAAGGTGATGTGTATTCTCAAGTGTTGGGAAATGAGAAAAGTGGGTATGTTCGTGGTTTAGGACTTGGTCCAACTCCTTCAGTTCTATGGGGTAGTAAATCTTCAGTAGAAAATATTGTTGTAGAAGATTCATCTAATGAGGTTGTACAAGGTTAGAACAAGAAATAACTGAGTTAAAGGAAAAACAAAATGAAGAAATGGATCTGATGAAGCAAAATCATGAGAAGCTACAATCAGAATTACTCCGAATGAGACAATTCATGCAAAAGTATGCTCCTAATGAATCTTTTCCTCAAGATATCAATGACACCTCAAATGAACAGGTAACTAAATGTTACAAGTCTTAGAAATTTTAATGAAATGTTAATTTATAAAAGGATTGTTAACTAATGTCTTAATACTTATAGGTTCCCAACCATAATAGCGGTCAAGAAGGAGTACCACAATCATCAAGGATATCTAGTAATGCTGAAATTACTCTACCTCATGGGACTACTCATCTTTATCATTTGACGTTACTCTTTGAGTTTTCATTACTAGTGTTTCTTGTATTTGTTTTTAATAGATCTGTCCGCCAATTGAACTCGCAATTTTTAGTAGTAGTAGTAGTAGTTCTTCTACAAGTGTAGACTATCTTTTTGGTTCCATTTGTCTTATCGTCTGTAATCGAATGCTTGGAATTTGTTGTTTTATTAGTGGTCTAGATCTTTTTAGCTTTAGAAGGGAGTTCCTGAGAGTTATTGTATTGAATAGTACCTGCACAATCAAAACCTCTATTAGTTAAAAAAATAAGCAACTAGTTCCCTTCTCTTAGAACATGTGACACTTGGACATAATAGCTAGGTTTGTATATTTCCAACTTTTGTATGATGAGTGGTCAAGTGTTAGAGATCTCTTTTATCCAACTTCTGAGGCAGCTTTTCTCGGTTTGTCTTGGAACAAAGAATGATATGAGCTTTTCTCGGTTTCTCGAGTTTATTTGATGTTTGTTTGGTTTCAATTTTGAATGCACAAGCTGTACATTTATGTTTCTTCACAGTTCACTCGTAGTATTGGCTATCTTCTGAAAAGAGGGTTCACTACCAGGTACTCTCTTGTACTATTTGCCTCTCCTCCGCCTGAGTTTTTTCTTTGTCCTGCTCATCCTCTTTTGGTTGTTCAATTTGCTGATCCTGTGACATTAGGTCAATAAAATTGTTATGGGAAGGGTTCTTATTAATAGCTGCCTAGACTTGAGTTTCTTTGTGAAGTCCTTTGTTGTGTTGACTTGAAGTTGCAATATTTCCTCCATCAGCACTCTGATCTGCTGCTACTTGGTTCTTCATGTTCTGTGTTTTCTTCCTCTTGGGTGTGAGGTAGAGCTTCAGGACTCTTTTGTTTTCCTGTCCCTTGAGTTCCAGTCTGCTACTTGATTTTTTACTCATGATCTGCTGCTACTTGAACGCTAAAGGACCACGAATGTTGTGACATACACATACAAGCAAGCTAAAAACAGCTTTCAGGAAAAATTCAAAAAAAAAAAAGTTTATCTCCAGGATAGATCTCAAGACATTCAAGTTCACACCATCTCTATTTCTTTCAGCCTGCCTCTAGGCCACTGTAAAAGTTGCACCCAAGTTTCAAAGCTACACCACTGCAAATAATCTTGTCCAGTGGTATTACTGATTAACACAATACTGATCAAGACCCATAGGTATCATGGTACTCCAGACACCTTTATTAGTGATGTAGAATGTACTGTGTTGTTTGATTAAGCAAAGAAAAAGTCTAGCTAGTAACTGTAACTCGGAATGAAATGCATCTATTTGAGCAGATGTCAACCTCTTTTCCATAGTCAAATTAATGAGCTCATGAAGCACTGCAACTACTCGCTTTTGAGCTTTCAAATCTTTAAGCATTCAAGTATGGAGAAGGAACTCCTTCTTCGGTCATTTCTGAACTTCCTTAAGGTAGTTCATGTTCGGCCTAAATCCTGCAGCATAATGCATTTGAAACGCGAAGGGACCAACATAGTTTCCATATTTCAATACTTTAATCTTCTCTTTTGAAGTCAGGACCTCTTCACACGACAACCATTCCTCCTGGGCAATGACAGCTAGAAAAGAATGTCAACTCCACCTCCATTAGCACTCTGATCTGCTGGTACTTGATTTTTTTACTGTCTTTTGAATATCACAGCAGGTAGACCTTTCTTAGTAGTGATTTTAGGGGTAGCCAAATTTAGAGGTGTTTCATCCTCTAAAAAATAATTCACTTCTTCGATTTTTTCATCTCTTTGATTTGATGGCACAAAAATGAAAATGGATGCTTTTTACCTGTAATTTTTCAGATTAATCACACTACTTGCAATATTTTTATACTTTGGATTTCATCTATTGACACATTTTGTTTTTATTTCAGGTTATACAATCTGAAGTTCACAAATTTCATATGTGGGTGATTTCAAAGACATTATTCGAAGAAGAGTAACAAAACTTATTTGAAGACATTATTCAATAGTTTGAACAATATAAGTTCATTTTTAAAAGTAGTGACTATCGTATTATGGATCAGTACTTCTTTTTGTTTGTCTAGATTTAAAGCGATATATTCTATTTTATGAATTAATAGTAATATATATGTTTTCATTATTAGCGAATATTGTTGTTACTATGAGGCTCTCTTTTGCTAACATATTTTTTGGATTTTTATATATACATTTTATCGATAATGTAGTAGATATTATTAATGGCGGCTAAACAATTGCCATTAAAAGTTTTGATATTTAGCGGCAATTCAATGGAAATTATTAGCCATAAAATAGACGTTAAAGGGGCAAACTAAGACATTTTTAGAAGGGATATTGTAGCCCTTAGTCACCATAGTAAAATTGCCGTTAAAACTACTACCTTTTAGCAACTATTTATTTCGATTTATCGACTAAAACAATGGACACTAAATGACCAGGAATAGCCGATATGAATTACCTTTAGTAGCCAACATAATTGCCGCAAACAATCACCATTAAAACTACTAACTTTTAGCGGCTATTTATTTAGATTTATCGACTATATAAATAGACGCTAAGAGACCATAGTTGGCCGAATGAATTACCTTTAGCAGCCAAGACAATTGCCGCAAACAATTGACATTAAACGTACTACCTTATAGCGGCTATTTATTTAGATTTATCGACTAAATCAATGGACGCTAAAAGACAATAGTTAGGCAGTATGAATTAGCTTTAGCAACCAACATAATTGCCGCAATTAATTGCCGTAAAATCTAATGGTTTGTAGCGGCAATTCATGCTACCCTTTACCAGCATTTCCCACAATGGCCGCAAAAGCCTTTGCTGACCCCAACATTGCCGGCTAAAGTTCATTGGCCGGTATAGAGTATCGCGGCAAATGGTATTGCCGCTAAAGACATATTTTATTGCCGCTAAAGGGCCCTTTTGTAGTAGTGGAGTCATGGATGTTATATGTGTTTTTCCATGATTTTCTTATGTTATTCATGTTCTTGAGAAATTCATGTTTAGTAAGAAAATGAGTTTGCATGATTTATGTTCCACATGTTGTTGCGCATTTAGTACGAGTTGCCTCTTTGACTTCATTAGATGAGTTGATGAGCGTGCTTTAGTATGCTTTTGAGAGTAAAATTCATATTGGCTCCATCAAATTGTGTTGAGCATGCTTTTTTTTTGGAAAAGATGGTTCCTCCTATGATTATGAGAAAAGTTGAAATTTCATGCATAATGGGTCGTTAGATGTAGTTCCTACTTCCTTATGTTGCATTGATTATGTTTAAGTTGGAGTTGATGTTTCCTCATATGAATAGTGCATTATTTTAATGTTGCATGCATGATGGGCTGCTAGTCTTGAGTCTTTAATTCGATAAGCTGTCTAGATCGTCATTCGAGGATGAATGTTCCCAAGGGGGATATATATATTGTAACAATTCGGAAACTAGTAGGTTAAATTAGAGCTTAACATAAGTGTTAGAGTCACAAATGTAACTCCCTCTACTTAAAAATAAAGGGTTTCGTGTGGGAACGTCTAGGTACCACCCCCAAGGACCAACTATGGGTCCTTGAGGAGGACCCCAAAAAATTTTCCTGGACAGTGACCCACGAAAAGGCCCTATGCCCAATAGGTCAACCCACGCTACATGGGTCACCACGTAGAAGGACACAATGGAGGCTGCTTGAGGTAGTGACCCACGAGACCAAGACCCACGCCTGGTGGAGTGGTCCACGATCCGTGGGAGGAGGTTCGTACGTCAAGGACCCAATTTTCCAAGTCTCAGTAACCCAAACTACGTTCACCAGCAAGCCACATGGGTCCAACCACGGACCGTGGTCAAGGGTGATGAACTAGGGTAGTTTTGAAAAATTACTTACGGGCACTTTGGGTTTTTCCGGTTTTAACTAATATTAAGTGACGTCATTTTATTCTACATTAGACTAACTATATAATGATTTTCAACCTCTAAATTAAGCCATCTTCCTCATTATTCATAAAATCCCAAATCAAAACCTACTTGATGAGTCCACAGATTGTACTCATTTAGGGCTATATTTTAATAGAAATTGTGTCATCAAAAGCTTATTTTATCTCAATATCTGATGAAAATCCTTAAGTTTCACGTATTTGAAGTTTGAAGGAAAGCATGGACACTACGTCGCAAAAAGGACTGAAAGGGCTTAATAGAATGAAGAAATGAAGGCCTTAGGATCGCCGAATGATCTTACTTCGCCTTTTGTTGCAGTGTGCTGAGCCCTGAAGGAAATAATCAAGTCAGCGGAAAAAGGGAGCAATCGGCGCATCAACAAGAAGTTCCACGAAGTAGTACCATGTCGTCCAATGACCCAGAGCTCGACAATGATGAAGGCTGGTGCAAGACGGCGATGAACTACACCAAAGGGCGAATCGCCGAGTTGATCGGCGATTCTGACTAATGATGCCAAATGATCCGAAGCAGCACAAATCTGTGAAAACTATAAATTATAGTTAAAGTTGTAGTTTTAAGAGTCGAACAATTATTATAATTTTTAAATAGAATAGTACTTTTTGATAATTTTGCTCTAAACTTGAGAGGGTTTTGAAGACTTGAAGATCCAAAGGGTTTCATCTTCAAGATTTAGGTTTGGGTCTCTTGGATTCTTCACTTTTGGC